CAGACACAATCTGCAGAATGAGTAAAGCCCAATCAATAATACAATTTAAGAGATGTGATTATAAAAAGGAAAGAGGCGGTTCGAAAAATTAAGCCTTATTGCTTTTCTGAATTATCTATAAATTTCAGACAGTATTAAAGTGGGTTGACCTCGTTGTCGCAACTTGGTCTTGTTGTCAGGGCGACTTAGTAGAAGGCACCTAGTTCGAAGTCGTCTGCCATAGTAGTTGTCATGCTTCCCAGCATCAGACAGTTGACTTGGTACATTCTCAAACGTTTCGCCGGCATCGTAGTCGGCATCATCAGTCAGTTTTGCCATTCCCCGCACCAAGCTTCCAACTCGTAAAAGAGACAGGTGAAGTCAATCTTTTGACAAACGCTCTGCCGAAAACGGTTACACTATCACCCTTTTCGTCGTGGCCTTTCTATCTACCATTTACCCTCTTATCCCACTGCCGCCCTATCACAACTTTTCACTTGTTTAAAGTACACTAGTCAAAATGTGTGCCCATTTGTGGCAAATCTAGTGTGGCCTTGCTATCTACCCCGACCACTCTCTTTCTATCAGCTTATCCGACACGGGCCTCCAATCCGGATCCCTTTATTCTCTTGTGGATCCGTTCATTATCTTTCTGGTTGAGCGATTTCACTCGATCACAGTCCAAGTCTGATGCTGGGAATCATGACAATTACTATGGCGGACGACTTTGGACTAGATGCCTTCTACTAAGTCGCCCTGACAACAAGACCAAGTTGCGACGAGGTCAACCCACTTATATAAATCGAAAGGAGGCTGCGACCATACCAGAAGCCACAACATCTTGGTCTTCATATCTTCATACGGTATGTAAAAATATGATCGTAGAATCTAATTACCTGAAAAAGAAGTCGACCACTGCCTGGAGCTAACCCCAACCCAGTTGGCCTACTACTGCCACCTCCGGGACTAGCCCCTAAGGACCCAACGACAGTTAAAGGTGGAGACGCAAGGCTAGGAGAAGTGCTGGTCGGTCCACCAGGAGCAAGACAGCTCGGGTAAATGGAGATTGAGGGGTCTCTAAGGGGGGCACATTCGCCTGAAGTGTTGGTAGTGGATGATCGAGGCAACGATTTAGGCGTATATAGGAAAGATCGGGGGCTGAGAACTGGATTCATTCCTGCTGCAGGAGATGAGGATAATAAAGCCGGAATCTGTTGCGCAAGTATATTAGGACTGTGACTCTGAGACTGCTGTTGTTGTAAAATTAACTGTTGTTGCCTGGGCAATGCACCCGATCTCATTTGATGTGGGTTATAGTGGCGAATAGCGCTTGGTGAGCCAAGCTCACATGTTGAGTTGCCGCTTCGACCAGGAATGCTCATAGGTGAGGTCACAGTCATCCCAAGGCCTGGAGAGCAGACTGGAGAAGCGCATATACCACTTAGTCCAGAAGACGACGCTGATGAAACACCAGATAATCCTGTGGCCGGTAGTATTCCACCAACCCCAGAAGTAGCACCCGTGGTGGAGGATCCAATAAGTCCGGATAATGCGAGTCCAGTATTAACTGTAGAGAAATGGCCAATGCGTGGCTGCCCTGAGATGGAAGCAGGCGAGGTCGAGGATTGGCTAGACAAGCAAGGGAAAAGAGAATTAACAGTAGATCCCGTGTTAGCTGTGTGTCTGATAGATGCGCTGTGTAGTTCCGATGACAGTTCTTCGTCGACATCAGCGTCGGCTTCTGCATCAGTGTCAACTTCTACGTCGACATCATCTCCAGGTTCGGGACCAAATAACCCAGAGCTGGAAAGAGAAGCCAACGGGCCACCAAGCCAAGATAATTCATCGAATAAACCTGACGCACGATGACTGAATAGGTCAGATTGATGCTGTACGGGGCTAGTACTAGACTCGATGTTGACTTCGGAGGTTATAGGTGTCCCTGAAGCGGTCACAGATATATTGGAGCCGAATATCGATATGCCTGATTGCCAAGGATTGAGGCCTGATTGACTTGGAGTAATGGATGTAGCTGGAGTGTGATTAAGTATGCGGCCACCTTAAAAAAGATAATTCGGTCAAGGAAAAATCGAGCTTAATAAAAATGGAGATAATAAAGGGTAATTCTATATGCTATGAAACAAAGCAATATATGTAAGGAAAATTAATTTAAACAGTGGTTCTCAAAAACACTGAGCGAAACTGCCTGAATAATATTTTGTGAAACTTGGTCCAAAGAAGCAGTGACTAAATGTACTCATACCAAAACTATGGGAAAATTCAAGTCCTACCTAATGGTTGATGCGGCTGTAGGTGATTTTGAGGTGCTTTTTGTCCCAAATAATTAGTTGGTGATAGCGTAGTCTGTCCATGAGGGATATTGCGATTCAATAACATGAAGGGGCTCTGGCGCTGAATCTGCGTTTGCTGAAAATGCTGAGCCTGATGAGGATGAGCGCGATGAAAAGGCGAGACTCTGGAGGGCAGACAAATCGAAGGCGACTTTACTTTAAATGTGTGTGTGTCAGTTTCTTGGCCATGCATAAGTAACCCTTGCATTAGGCCCAAAAAAAGAGCATCCTCTTCCTCAGAAACACCACTGTCTGTGGTAGCGGAAACTGAATCCATAGTTTGTTGAAGCTGCCGATTCGAAGGCGGAGAAGAGACATCAAAGTGGCATTCTGATGATAGAAAGTCCTCGACTCTCCTGGAAGTAGTTTCATAATCTTCAGTATCTACATGCCCCACCGGCGAATCTGCATCACCGTCGCCCTCAGCTTCGACGTCATGAAACCAACTAGCCTGGCGACCACTGGTGAGTCCGAGCATAAGTGCAGCCATTTGACGGTCTGTTAGACAAACCGAGGAAGTTGTAGCTGACTCCGTGATTTCGCTAGCCGGTGCACAGGACTGATCAGGCAAAATATAGGTGGCTAGAGCATTAACACCACCATCAGCGTCAGCATTGCGATCTAAAGAGCTGGGCACCAAGGGCCAAGCGCTAATCCCAGAATAGCTTCCCCCTTCATTTGCTCCAGAACGAAGAATTGGCTGTCCGGCGGGTGCGGAATGGGATTGAAGACCGGCCGAATTACGAAGTAGGAGGAGCGAGGAGCTGCTTGGGGCTCCTCTCATCGGTAAGCCGGTGAACAGCTGGCCCCCATGTATTGAAGCTGAGCTAGTGCTGGCAACCGAAGTGGCAATGCGAGCAGTGGACAGCGAACTGGTATGACCACATATATTAGTCAGCCCGGATATTGGCGATTGCAGCTGGGGAAGCTGCTGTGGACGAAGCGGACGTGAGAGTAGAGGCAGGACCTCGGGAAAGGATGAATCAGAGCCTGTATTTTAGAATAATTAAGCGCATAAATAATTGTTTGCCAGGTCTAGCTTAGATAAATTGAACATAATCAAAATTAAAAAGCATGACCGAAATTATAAGATCTTTTCTAAAAGTATGAAATAATACTGTCTCAGTCGCTATTCCTTCTACCAATGGAAGGTTGATATCATTTATTTTTAAACATTTTTTAATTCAAAATTAAGTAATCTAAGAAGGCTAGTTTTAATGACTATAAATAAGATATACAACACATTTAG